AAATTAAACTCACTCACGAGTCACGGCCCTTTTTTAATTTTTTATTTTTTATTTTCAAATTTTCAACACTTTCCCTTTGTGGGTTTTTCTTTACAGATGAAATTGATTAAAGGGTTTTTTTTTTTTTTTTTATAATTTTTTAAATTTTAAAATATGAGGAGGAAATCATAAGTCAACCTCACCTCATCATTTGGTCTTGGTTCCTCCAAGCACCACCTCATATCCCACTTTCTCTCTCTCTCTCTCTTTTTTTTTGTTTTACAGTGAAAGTAACTCTCTCTAATTCCCTCCCATCTCTTCTTCTATATAATTCACCATGTCTGTTATTCCTCGGCACCTCCGCACCATTTCCATTTCCACCACCACTCCATGGGAAGCATGAAGGTGCATCAACTGGCACGTGGCTTAATCACCACCTGGGACCACGAACCCTCCCTCACTCTCGGCTGCAAACGCTTACGTCCACTTGCTCCCAAGCTCGCCGCCACCACTTCCGACTCAGCAGCCGCTGTCTCCGCCGCTTTCGACCTCAAGAGCTTCATCAGACCTGAAAGCGGCCCCAGAAAGCTCGGCTCCTCTGATGATCACAAGAAAGACTCCCCTCCGGTCAGTGCATCCAAACCCTTTTCTTATAATTCCATACACATGCTTAAAAAATATATTTTATGCTGAAAATTTTTGGTGGGGCGAGCAGGTGGAGACGCATCCAGGAGGGACAAGGTGGAACCCGACGCAGGAGCAGATAGGAATATTAGAGATGTTGTATAGAGGAGGAATGCGAACTCCCAATGCCCAACAGATCGAGCAAATCACGGTGCAGCTCGGCAAGTATGGTAAGATAGAAGGCAAAAATGTCTTCTACTGGTTTCAGAACCACAAAGCTCGCGAGAGACAAAAGCAGAAGCGTAACAGTCTCGGTATTACGCATAGCCCTAGAACACCACCCACCATCATCGCCAACATCGTCTCTTTCAACCCTAGGGTATGTACATATATATATATATATCCTTCATTTGCATATGTTTTGGGGGAGCTAGGAAATGGGTTTTAACAGTTAGTAAAACTTATTTGATGTACAGAGAGAAATGGTGGAAAGAGAAGAAGATAGTGCTTACAAGAGGAAGTGCAGGAGCTGGGGATTCCAGAGCTTGGAATTGGAAGAAACGAGGAGATGTAAAGAGGAGGAGAATAGAACTCTGGAGCTTTTCCCATTGCACCCGGAAGGCAGATGAAGGGGTTTGAATTAAGAAGGGAATAATAATTAAGAAAAGAAATTAATAATTATTCCGAGTATTATTCGAATTTACTTGAGCGTTTGCTGTCAAAAATGGTGATCAGATCCTGTTTTGATGTGGTCTTTTTCTTTTCTTGGTTTCGGGAAAGAAGAAAGACAAAGTTGTCTGGTTGTAATCTATCTCTCTACTGCTGGTTATTATTCCTGATCACTTGAGACTCCCGAAGCTGTTTGTAAAATCACTCTTTATTCCATTTCTGCAGCTGTCTCATCCTTTTGACCAGAGAGCTATACTCGTTGAAACCAGAGCTCTTTTAGGTTAAAAGTAGACACTGAAGTCCACGCACCTACATCTTCTTCTTAACCCTAATTTCTCCATTTTTCAATTTTCTTTTTTGAAAAAAGCTACAAGTGGGAAAAGGGTTCTTCCTTCTTCTTCCTCTTAATCTTGCCTCCTCCTCGATAACATTATATATATATATATGTGCATCTATCTATATAAGTTACTGCAGCAAGAGAAGACTTTTTAACATATAAAGCAGCATATGATACAGTATTACTGTTAGATGACATGCAATATCTATCATTATCTTCTCTTTTTCTTCTGGAGTAGTTGGTGTGTGATGTTGAGAAAAATCATGGTATATGCCTATATCTAATTGGTGCCTGGTGGGGTCTATATTATAATTGGTGTTAACGATGAGGGCTGGATTGCGAGGGAAAAGATATATGGAATTTAAAATTAAATAGAAAAGTTTCTTCCATAGATTAAGATAAATTAAAAAAGCGACCGAGGAAAATCATTGTTCTATAACATGCATGCTCTACGAATCTAAATCAATTATGTGAATACCAGTGCCAAATTTATATAAATTATTGAAACCTTATAAAAAAAAAAAATTTATTATTCCTATATAATCCATTTCGGCTACTCAAAGTAACTAATATTAATATTATATATATATATACATACACATATAATGTGATTCTCAAATTCTGTAGGCTTCCTTTATATATCTACACCGTATGGAGGTAGATTAATGATTGTGCGTACACATTTATAGGAGTAGAGTTGTGAAGGATCTCAGCTACATACGACCTCTGAATAATTGAGCTTTTTATCTTTTTTTTTTTTTTTAATGTTAATTAAGTTAAAATTTGACGAAAATATTTTAAATATCTTCAATTTTATTTACATCATTTTTTTTTTTTATGATTTTAAAATACACAAATCACTTACATAGCTGTTACTATGCTTATAGAAAATAGTTACTATATTTAGTTACCATAGAAGAGTCAATTAACTAAAGAGTCAAAATTCCATTTAGGAATAAGTACATATTCTTGTTGATAACTAAATATATATATATAAAAAAAAAAACACCATACCTATTAAACATTTTATAGTAATTACAATAATCATGATCGTTTACTATATCTATATAAAAAAAATCTCGATATTTGATTCTAAATAAGTATAATCTAATATTGTAATGCAATCTATTTAAAATATAATAAAACATGGTCTGACTTAAGAAAAATTAACTTCCTAAATGATGCAGCTTTAGATTTTATACTTTTTTAAAACTAAATTTTTTATAAAATTATAATATGTTTTTTTTTAATTAAAAAAAATGATTTCCATTTTATTTTCATTAAAAAAATGATTTTCATTTATTATGTATAATTAAAGTAGTTATATATGAATAATATTTGTTTTGAATTAAAATTAAAAGTTAATTTAGTAAATTAGTTACGTATTTTAATATTATTGTTAAAGCATCATTTTGTTCAATAGAATACATAAAATAGATATTTTGGAAAAATAATAATAATAATAAATCACAAAAATTGAAAGAAATATTATAATATTTTTCGAATTCTTACTCAAGTTATTTATTTATTTATTTATATAATGTAAACAGACTGACAGCCAGCGAGTTTTGACCTCGCGATTATCCACATTTTATTTATTTATTTATATTAAAAATGTTAGTTTTCAGTTTTGACTATCGCAAAATTAATAATATATCTTAAACCTTGTAATATATATAATTGGGCCTTTTTGTGAATCCTCCCTCCCAAGGAACATTAAATGGGCCGGTAATAAACCACTTAAAACTGTATTATCCGACCTGGTACATGAAATATATAAGAATCAATTAGATCAGACCTGCCACATTTTGATTAAATTTTGTTAATTGTTTTTATTTATTAATTTATCTTGGATATTATTTAAATATGTAATACACGTAACTATCGTTAATTAAACTAAGCCCTCCAGTCCAATTATTGATTTCATAATCTATCTACTCGATACTTGGTTTCACAAAAATTATTAATACATGATTGATTTCTTTATATAATAAATAACTATTTCGTGTTATGGATATACATGAATATAATATTATATTTGTTTAACATAATGAAAATGGATTACCATGTTGTTCCTCGTACAAAATAATTTTTGAAGTAAGTAATTAAATCAAATATTTTTAATATAATTTTTAAGGGAGAGAAAATGAACGGAGATCAATTGCGAGTGTTGTATTCCTGATGTGAAATCAAAACTTAATTTACTGACTTTTATAGTCACGTCTTGACTGTGAGAATTAAAGGGCGGTTTCTTGTTGCCATGATTAGAGAGTCAATAATTGTAACTTATTCATATTGAATTTGGCCATTTGGGTAATTGGCTTATACTAGTCCTCTGTCTATATGCATTGAATCAACCTTTTATAATATTTATCTATTTATATATATATGTATATGTATCTGTATACTGCAGGCAAGCTCTACCAAAGCTGTAATTTAGTATGTATTATCAGAAATCAAAATACCCAAAAGTGATTAATGTATTTGAAAATTTCAGGATGGATAGACTCAAATTTCAACCCATCACTCTATTTGCATTTGAAGTTCGATTTTTCTTATAAAAAAAAAAAAAAAAAAAAAAATTTAGTCAGCTGAGTAGACGAGCTAGCTTTAATTTAATTAAAATATCTACAAAATAAAACAGCTGGCTAATAAACTGTTATATATAGAGACATATAGAGCTTGAAGTACCCACAATAAATAATGGATTTTACTTTTAAAAAAGAAAAAAAAAAAAAAAAAAAAAAGGAATGAATTATTTAAATAAATAATTTGATAGTATATATAAAATAATAATTTATAAATTATAAAAATTATATTATGATATTTGTGTTGTCTAACAAACAATTATCATCAAATATTCTCCAACACCTGAAAAGACCAGAGCACGTAGTGGTATTCCCCATATATCCACACGATAGGAATATATATAACATAAATTTTTATATATTCGGTATTAATTATTTTTTTATTTGCGATAAATATATAAATATAAACGAAAGATGAATTATTACTTCATCTATTTTATATTAATTTGTCATTGTTTATTAATAATTTCTAGACTTGTCAAGTTAAGTTTAGTTTCTTATAATTAATCACTTAACGTGATATTATAATTAGCCTGGAAACTTATAGTATCTATTGCCCATCACAATCTTTAAGTCAAACAGAATTCGATAATTTTTTATAATGTTGAATGTAGTTTACATCAATATAGTAATACAATTATAATAAAATAAAAATAATTTTTTTTAAAAAAATAATAATTCAATTTTAATTTATTGTATAAATAATGTAATTAAGAATTTTTAGACATGAAATTAAGGAGTAATTTTAGGTGGGGATGATTTGATTAGGAGATGCAAGAGGGGATTTGAAGGAGGAAAGATAATGGATAATTCTTATTATAGTAGTGTTTTGTACGAGGGTGACAACCTGGTTATGCTGCTTTCCTATATCTATATTCCTGTATTTTCCAAGCCTGTCTTAAAACATTATTCCACTCGAATCTCTAGTTTCCTGTTTTATTTTCTATCTTTCCCCCCCCCCCCCCCCCCCCCTTAGATTTACGTGTATTTTTATGTGATTATTAATTTGGGATTAGCATGGTCTTAATGATTTTGAATTGAATTTCCAGTTATGAGATTATATAACAACATACATATATATATATATATATATGTATCATATGTGGGTTGGACAATCCGAGCCAATCTAATTTAGTATTTTTTTTTTCTTTTCATTATTTGTATGAGTAAAATTTCTTAATGCAATTGGAGATAATGCGATCTTAATTACCCAGTCATGTTAAGCTACATTTACAGATCCATTTTCAGAGTCATGACGGTGACGTTTTGGCATTTTTAAGCTTTCTTGTGTGTATACAATGAATATCACTCTATACACTTGCAAGGCGGTTGTTTAAAGCTTAAATAATTTCCATGCAATTTTACTTTCGACAATATACTAACATATATATATATATATATATATGTATAATATGAATCATGAGATGATAGTTGCTGAGTCATTTAATTATTCATTACGGGGTTGAAAGTGAAAGATCACTCGAATCATTAAGTTCATACTTACATGGAATATATACATACATATTTATTTACATACCGAAAAGTTGCGTAATTAATTCTTAATTATCGAATGGGATGATGGCGATAAATTGATGCTCTCAAATTGTGCGGTCACTAAATCAGTCCGTAAATACGTATGAAGAGCTTCGGCAAATACAATGAATCGCGAACTCCCATGAACTCAAATTTTACGCGATTAATAATTATTTCATCTGTACAAGTAGAAAATTTAATTACCATTTATAGAAATAGATAATTACAGAGAGAAAATTTAAGAAATACCTGGCGAGTCTCGGCAAATATTGCATAATTTTTTCTACCCAGTTAGCTCATTAAACAGCCATTTAATGGAAATAGCTTTTAATTAATTTTTTCAAAAATCAGTTAATGTAGACAAAATCAAAAAAGAAAAAAAAAATCAAAGTCAAGATATGATTGGATGACAGTTTGGCAACCGTAATTAATTTTTGCAACATAAAAAACATAAGAAAAACAGAAAAGCAACCGCCCAAAACCAGAAAAACAAAACTACTTAAAAGAGAAAATATCAAAAGCAAAATTAAAATTAAATAACAAAAAATATGTTAATATTATTATTTATTTATTTATTTTTTTTTTTTGTAAGAAAAAACCCCGCACTCACCGCCCACCTTTCATCACCCATCATCAACCTTCCTTTGAAACAAACTGGCTCTCTCGTAGTAATCTTCCACCACCATAACCATGACGCTGACAGCCCCCCCCTCCCCTCCCCCTTTCATTCAGGACCACACCCTTCCATTCCCTTCTATGCCGTTTTGTGTTCTTTTCCTCTGCGTATTGTGGTCTCCACACCCACGTCATTTGTTTCCTTCTTCTTCTTCCTCCTCCTCCTCTTCTTCTACCTATCTACTTCTTTTCTTTCCTTATGCTCAACCCTATTCATCCTATCCACGTCTATGCCCATACATATCTCATGTACCATAAATCATATATTATAGACAGAACAATTAAAGAGTATTTAAGTCATATCTGTTTCATTATCATCATCATCATCTTCATCTTCATCTTCATCTTCTTCCTCGTCATATAGTTACAGAGGCAAGAGAAAAAAATCAAAACAAAACTTGAAATATAGAGAAAATCAAGAAACGAAACGAGGGAAGATAATCAACATCAATTCGATTATGCGTATCTATAGCTAAAACCAGTACACTATAGCGGATCATCATGTTACAGAAGAAATCTGCCCAATGAAACAGAACCCTTCTCAATTCCATTTCCATGGCAACCATCAAGCTACCTACCCCATATGTAAGAATTTACACCATAAATAAGATCCACCAGAGGGAAGCAGCAGCAAAGGGTTATTCTTTTTTTCGGCTGGTGATCAGTTTTGCAGCTTGAAAAATCTTCAGTCTTCATCGGAAGTTTCCGGATTCGGGTACTCGTTCAAGTCGGGTTTCTCGGTTACCCGTCCGGAAGAGTTGGACTCGGAGGAAGGTGCGGGGTGGAGAGCCGCAGCCTGGAGTGCGTCAACTCTGGCGCCGACCTCCGTGGCCTTCTTGCGTATGGATGCGGCAGACATGTCACGGAGGCGATGATCGTCGTCGTCTTGGAAGACGAGTTCCGGGAAGTTGAGTCTGGCGGATGGACCACGGAGGTAGAAGACGGCGGTGTCGTAGGCGCGAGCGGCGGCGACGGGGGTGGAGTAAGAGCCGAGCCAGATCCTGGAACGCTTGTTGGGTTCTCTGATCTCCGCCACCCACTTACCCCACTTCCTCATCCTGATCCCCCTGTACGGCTTATCTTGCTTCTGCTGTCTCTGCTTTCTCATCTTGTTCTCTGTGCTGCTACTGCTCGTCGTCGAACAACACTCTCCTTCCATGGTTCACAGAAGAAAGTTACAAGAAACCAAAATCCCAAGAAACCAACAGGAAAAAAAAAAGATGATCTTTTTATTTCGGCTTGCGGCGGCGATCACGTCAGAAAAGCAAGAAGGCAGAGAGAGACGGTTTAATATTCAGAGAGGAGTGTTGGATGTTACAAGCCATGCTCTCGGGCCCAAGCATGGGTAAACATAGAAGACGAATATATATATGGTTGAATGTATATATGGGTGACAATATATATATATATATATATATTAAAAAAAAAAGAAAATAGGGAAGGCCGTAAGCATTAGTTTCCCACTTGGCTGCTAGTCTGTCGTCTGGGCACGGCCGCCACGTTGATCTTCCTTAAAGATAAATCCAAATTTGGCCGACATAATCCATCAGCTCTCCCATCTCTCTTTCCTTTCTCTATTTTCCCTATCTATCCATATATACTTAATAAATACTAATTTATTTTTTCAAAAATAACTCAAAACTTAATAATTGAAGGGCGCGCGCGCGCGAGCGCACACACACACACACACACACACACACACACACACGCACACACACACATGTTTGTATGACTGTGCGTATTATTAATTAAAGTACATGTCGACCTATATGTTTTATTAATTTTTTTTCAGATTTAAATTTTTTAAAAAACTATTTTAGAAGTGCATTTTATATTCTAATAACATATTTGGAATTCAAATTTTAATTTTTAAATAGTAATTTTGATAAATAAATTAAATTTATTTTATTCTCGCTCGTATAGGTCTAGATACGCTTGGAAGGGGCAGTTTCAGTGAACTATTATGAAAAAATTCCACGTGGCGAGCTTATGAGCATCTGACCGCCAACGTGGACATAAACTCGAAACTCATTATTATTAGTGAAAAAAATAATTTTACATATTTTAATTGCAACGTGTTTTCTTATATTAAGAAAGTAAAATTTATACGTTTTGGATAAATAATTTATTTATTTAAATAATAATGAATGTATTTTCGGACCCAAAAAAATTCCATGTGTCGCTGGCGAGGCTCGTATTTAATTTCCGGGATTGTATGTAACTGAATTAACTGGATAATATGACTTGTTTTGTTTGTTTGTTAATTTGTTGGAAAGATAATGATGAGTTTTGGTACTGTTTGGAAACAAGTGGATCTAATTCCAAGTTGGGTTTAATCAAGTCGGTGGTGGATGGACGGATGGGGGAGAAAGAGAAGACTTTCCGTCTACGCAATCTAAAGTACATGAAAATGGCAGTGCAAATACCCAGATTCAATTAAAATTTTGATTAAGATTAAGTTAATCCATTTAGTTATATAAAAATTTTATAATTCAAAATTTCAAATGATTATTTGGATTTCAATTTTATATTAAATGTATAATACTTATATTTATCATAAAATATTGGTTGATTTTTAATATAATTTTTTTTTTAATACTAGTAAATAAAAAACCCCCTTAAGCAACTTAGGAGTGCTCAAACCATTAATTACTTTCTATTCCTGTCACATCCCAACTGGTTCTGGTGATAACTATTTCGGGTTGATTATTGACTTTTCAACGAGTTCTAACTAAGGTTTTGTCTTTTTTTTTATATTAAAGTTTTTGTTTATACAAACTAAATTAATCACCGTACTTGTTAATTAATTAATTAATTAATCATTAATAATTAAGAGAGAGTGTAGTTAAAAAATATGACTCCCTTGCCTTCTTCTACTTTACTACCTCTTTGGCGCATGGGAAGTCAACCATCATTTCTAAATTCTAATAAACAATTTACTCATTAATCTAACATCATCATTTCGCATAAACAGTTTACCAATTAATTACATATAGTTGAAATGGGTAAGTAATTAATTACAAAAATAATTTCAATCAAATTTCTTTTTTTTTTTTTTTTTTTTTCCTTTTTTTACTAATAGTAATAATGATTACTACTACTCGAATTTCCACACTAGTAATTGCTAGTAAAAATTTATTCTAAGGCATGAATAATTTCTATATAATGGGCGAAATCTATATATTTAATTTTATTATAAAAAAAATTAGATTAAATTAAATTTGTATCGTATTGTATATACTTCAACTAATAATACTGAATTATTAGAAAATTATTTTTTAATATAAATATAATAAATTCATTAAAATTTATTTACTACAACTCCATAAAGATAGCAATAAAATAAAATTTCAAAATTTATACAATTAAGTAGTACTCAAACTAGGAGGAGAAATAAAATCATGTCAGGTAGTTTGACATCAACATGGTTTTTGTCTCACTCTCACCGCCACAATAAGATGATCAATTTGCATCGCATTCCCCAGACTGACTCAACAAGGTACAACTATGATATATACCCGTACCCACTGGAATGGAATTCTTTATTCAATAAAAAAAAAAAAAAAAAAAACTACGTATCTCATGTAAAAACTAAGAAAAGATATACACTTGAAAATATTAAATCTAAAAAATATCTTACAAGAAAAATAATTTACCAACATAATAATTGTCGCTACTTATTGGGGTGGAAGATGACGAATTGCTGCTGCTTGTGGATAAACTAATGAATAAGAAGACAAAATAATGCACTTCCCAACTTGATTTCTCAGTCGGCAGCCACCTCCCCCCACAACAGCAATCTCCTGCCTTTTCCTCTCCCGTATTCTCCCTTCCCCCCACACCCACCTTTTTTTTTTTTTATTTAAATAAATCAAATGTTATTTTTTAATGTAAATATATATGAACAGGAGAGGAGGAATTCACCTTGTGGATAGAAGAATCTGAAAAATGTACGCATCCTCTTACAAAAGTAAAAAGCATCACCAAAATGGATCTGGGCCGCCCTGTTGTACCTAACAGTTGATAGTAATTTAGTTTGACATTAAGGACTTGACTAACGATCACACAAAATTTAAGTGATAAGTGACAAAACTACTATGCACTCTTCCTAAATCACACTGCGAAATGTTAGAAAATAACTGCCACCCATACAACCCGGATACACACCATAATAGCACCCAGCAGATGATAATTGATAAAATAGTTTTAACGGACTTACTAAATTACTATAAAATGTTAGGAAATTACTGCCACCCGTGGAGCCCAGATACACCATAATAGCACCCAGCATCCCAATCGTGTTCCTTATTAATGCCAGATGATCTCGCATTAAGAACTGATTACACGCCAAAAACAAACTAAATCCAGAGATAGATACATTCTGTATGTACAAATGGGATTCTATAGATTAAAGCCATGCACTACTGCAAGCTATAGAGAAACCAAATTACGCCTGAACCCACCAAGTAACCCTTCAGCAACATAAACCTTCAAAAATCTATGGGAGACGGAGTAGGTAAGTTCAATTTTCAAGGGTAAAACTATCAGCACATCAATTTACCTAATCTGTGTAATATCAACCAGCAGACTTTTGAGGTCATAAAATCTTAACTGAAAGGGACGGCTGCTGGTCAGGGGCCATGCATCCTGCTGCAAGTCTTACAAAGCAATCTACCCATCCACAATTAACACCGACATGAGCCTTTGGAGAGACCAACCAATTTCTTCAATAAATAATTCTGTGACATTGTATTTGCACAAGATAAATCTTGTCAATTAAGATACACTCTACAGAAAAGAAACATGTTTTGTATCAAACACAATGTTTACTTTTCTTTGTTCTCCTATTCAAGCAGATATTTGGATCTTTTTTTACCCTTGCACGTTAAATTTTTCTGACAATTCTCCTAAATATTTCTATCTCTTGATATAAATTTCTAAAAAGCCTTCTCCACGAGGCTTTTATCCTCATCCTAAAAAATGTTCTTACTCTTACTGTACTACACAATCAGAGATGAACTCTTGGAGTGAGATATTCTTTTCTAAGAAAGAAAGTAACATTCTGTTTGGTTCAAATCAATTATACTCTCATTCAATCTCTAGACCCAAACTAGTTGATATGTGGAAGATAATCATAATTTACATATCTGATGCATGATAAAATTAACTTCTTTCTATTCTTCAATTTCGTAACCATTGACGATGTATTCTTACTTGTCAAGGAATCACAATAACGTCAAACTTTAATTTCACGTGGAAATTACTTTGACCCGTACTGTTATTTTCATTCAAATTTCTGCAAATTACTTAAACCAAACCCAAAACATGAGGAAGACAAACCAATTTCTAGAAAGGGAAAACAGAAACAACATAGTAGCAATACAGTAAACTAAAACTTTGCCTTCGAACACCAAAGACAGTCTAGCAAATCCTCTGCCATTCAGATTTGGTCCACTGGTAAATGGTGATCCACAATTATACATAATGAGTGTAGTGGTATTTGATCAGGTCTTTTGAACAGAAGTTAAAACTGATTTTTAATGCCTGGTCATTTAGCTGTTGAAAACAGTGGAGCACCAAATGCCCCGAAAAGGATAGGCTTTTGGTCAAAATTGAAGGTAAATTACAATTTAATAATATCAGGCTTGGATTTTTTCATTTCTAATCTATGGAGTTTTTTTCTTGTGTCATCTTAGCACATGGTTTAATAGTTAGTCATTTCTACAAGACATCTACACATGCTTGTACTAATAAAAAATGAAGACGTAAATGTCAAGAGCAAACAAATTAAAGTTAGAAAAATAAAAAAAAAAAACAAAAATGTTATAAGAAAAACTAAGGTCCTGTTTAGTTATATAAACTTGTTCTTAGTTTCACTTTGTAAATTCATAAACACATGTAGAGTTACTGAAAAATGAAAACAAGGTTTGAAGAATGATAAGAAAATTATGGCATAGGTTTGAGAACAACTTCATTTCACGTTCTCGTTCAAAATAGTTTTCCATAACTAAAAAAGATGTAATCATTTCTTATAAAATGGAAAACAAAATAGATACTTCGTATTAAATTTGCACCAAAAAGAAAAACACACAAGTATTGGAAAAGGAGAAAATCAAACCAGAGGAAATAAATTGTACTACTCCCTACATTAATAATACACAAATAATCAGCCAAAGTTATCATAGAAGTTTGTATGGATATAAGCCAGAAATATACATTTTGCACAGAAATTATAAGAACTAATTTATGCATCGAGGTTGAGAAAAGTATGGAGTGCTAAAGCTAGGCACAATAATCAGGAATTGGACAACCTAACAAAGAGCTGGAGAAAATAGAATTAATACAAATGTATTAAGTACCACACGAAGCCGGGAATCTTGGTTGATATAGGTGAGATATTCCAAATAACTCAAGAAATACATATAGCCCAATGTCCAAAGATTACTAACATCAATCAAACAATATATCCCTCGAGAAAATAACAGAAACAGTAACCAATTATGTTCCAAAAACCACACATTAGCATGTGTTCAAATAGCACCCAACTCCTTTCTTCTTTCACTATCTATTCAATCACCTTGTACTTGCTGACTGTTGTACCATGAAAACTTTCTTTGTAAGCTACCAGTTAATACCATGGCAAGGATTTAGGTTTGTCATCTTCTTAGCGAAAACCCTAATGCAAAATCTTTAATTCAACCTACATTTAATTATAAAATCATTTAATCCACTCCACTAGAATTGTGTTTTCTAGGGGACTCGGTGTAGCTTTCTTCATAACTTGGTATTCAGTTCTACCAGTTAACAAATAGAAATTCTTGAGCTGAATGTTTATCTTCTTACTTTTCTAGTCCTTCATTGTACCTTATATTTATCCGCTACATGTAACAGTTACTTATCTGATATTTATCTATCCCAAAATAATCCAACGTATTATTAATAGGAACAAAAACTTCCCATCAATTAAAATGAAATTATGGGGAAAAGTAATGAAAACAGAAACTATACAGCTGCAGGCACAGAAGAAGAAATGTTTTCTTCGTAAATGTGAAACATATGAAACTTACGTTAAAAACATTACAATTTCGTACTGCCATTAATACGGTGGTTGCAAGCATGGGCTCAATAAAAATGCTCAAGTAAAAACTCAACAAATCATCAACCAGAAAGGAATTGACAGAGGCATGTGGTATTCAATAACAACAACATGGTCATCAACTGCCAATGATTTATAATAATGTCCGACCTAATTTCAACACATGAGATCCATGCCAAAATAACAACAAAAAGGAAATACCACTCAATGGAATGCAAACTGGCAAATTATCAGTGTCAAAATAGTCTAGAGATTAGTTCAGGTTATTAGTGATAATCCACGGTAACAAAAGAAACATACTGAGATATTCTGGGGCAGAGATATACCGTTTACAGTATTGACCATGGGAATCAACATCCATTTTCACGGTGAAAAGAATCCAATCATGATGCTCCAAGGATTTGAAGAGCTAGACGAACAAATAGTATTCCTTTCCATTTTATGAAAAACCTAACTATTAACACAATATATACCTCCGTGAAACTGTTATATCTTTTCCCAATCAAATTACACCAGTTCCAAGCAGAATGAAATACCCACCATCATAATTTTATTCACAAGCGTCAAAAATACCCATCTTCCCCTTCAGTGATCTCATCTTCACTAGCCCTTAATAAATAATCTTCATTGTCCCAGTCCTCCTCTGTTACCCACTCATCATCATCATCCTCTTCCCCTTCAGAAAAGGCCGAAATCCTCGCACCACCAAACTCAGTTCTCTGCACAACCAGCTCATCAACCACTCTATCCAAATCCCTCTCACCATCAAAGCATGAAACAGAGAACAAGACACCCTCCTCCTCCAAATCCTGCCTCCTCCTTTTCTCAGGCATCAAATCCTTCTCTGTCAATCCTCCATTCTCGACCTCAACCCACGGCACCCACAAATCTGCATGTCTTCCTAGCGCTCTGTCCCAATCACCTACCACTACTGTCCCCAAATTCGCATCCCTGGCTTTTCTCAACATCTCAACGAAGTCCTTATCATCGGACACCAAGAACAACCAGTCAATCCCTCTGGTCATAGAATGCTGCATTTGCCTCTTCAACGCCCAGTCCGCCGCCTGCGGCTTATCTTCCACCGTCTTCACGAAAACTCCTGCTCTCCTCAGCTCAGACGCCAACCCATATCCGACTTTTGGCGTAATCAAGCTTCTTGCAGCTTCATTGTACTTATGATTCCCCGTTATGTACTTTTCCTTATACTTTTGCCTCTTCTTCCCCTTCAAAGACCTCATTCGGTTGAACTTCTTCTGCCTCTCCCTTTCATGAAGTTGCCTGAAATGCTTCTTCAAATCAAGACTGGTCTTGCACTTGCGCCCACAAACCCCGCAAACGTAGGGCTCGCTCGGGGTAACCACTCCCTTTCTCTCAAGAATATTCAGTTGCTTCCTCTCGCGGCGTTCTTGGAGCACCCATTGCGGTAAATGAATGAAGGCATGGCGGTTCGCATAAGCTGATATCTCAACTATGTCCCCAAATCTCTGGGCTACCTGTCTCAGCGCCATGGCGGCCTCGTATGGCGGGCCCCGCGGGGGCTTGTTATCGAGGTCCCAGAGCACAACAACTTTGCTCTGGTTGGGCGTGTAGATCCCTTCCTTGTTCCTGACCATGTCAATGTCCGACGTCGACGCGGAGGAACTCGAGCTCGACCTGATTAGGCATGGCCGATAAATAACGCGGGGATTTGTGAGTGGGGGTCTTAACGTGATTGTAAGTTTGTGATTGTTGAGGCTTGGGGCGAGGAAGCTGAGATAAGGAGAACGAGAGAAAAGTAGGTCAGTCCTGTGCATCGAAAGGGGTTTTAGAGGGAGTGTATCTAAAGAATTGCAGAGAGAACTCATGGTTCCCGAATGATGGGTTTTCTTCTCTGTTTACAGAGCACTGAGAATAGAGAGGAACTTAATTGAGCGGAAAAGCCTAAAGGGTTCTGTTTCCATGCCGTCTTCTCCAACAGATTTTTGGAGGGGAAGATACAAAGTGATAAGACGATAAGGAAGAAGACCCTGATAATAAATCTTGGACCGTTAAAGCCCATTTCTGCCATGTCTGATGTTCCATTTCTGAACCCAGTTTAGGCCTTTGTCCTGGATTTGTCTGTAAAAATGGTGAGCTGGGCTTTAACGAAGAACCCATCTGAATCGCCCATTCTCTAAGTATTTACTTTTTTGTCAAAGATGATTTATATTTCTAAAAAAGGACAGAAAAGTTTGGAATTGTCATTTCTCGCCCCAAACAACAAAGTAAAATTGGGTTATGTGCCAATGGAAGAAGAGCAGTGATGACATGTCATTCATTAGTACTTGTTTGGTTGAGCCGAATGATTTGATAGTGGAAGGAGTTGTCTGCAAGGAGACAGACAAACGAGGTGTTAGAATGAGGAAGCTCTTACTTCAATGCTTTTGCCTGTTTTTCATTTTCAGATCATCATCTTCATGGGCATGGCTGCCTGCTTGTTTGCCTTTTTGATCCTCCACTTTTTCTTTCTTTCTCTTCTTCATCCCCCACTTTTTTCTTTCCTCAACTTTTCTGCCATTCCCATTCTTAAAAGATAATGAGACAGGGACTAATCAACAAGACTGTATTCTGAATTGCACAAGGATCCAATTCTTCTTCTTGATTGATTTTCATAACATATCTGTAAATGCAAGAGGAAATAAAATTTAGTTTTGTTGATGAACAAGTATGTTTTGGTGACTTGAGTTCGATCTTTTATGTAGATATATTTTTAATTTAGTTTAAAGAATATATTTTTTAAAAACAAAATATACAACATTGATTTTCATAAGACCGCAATTTTAAGTGAACAATTTGCCAATTGGGTTCAATAAAATTCAATTATTTATGTGAATTAATGTATATTAAAATTTATATTTTAATATCTATTAACACAATAATTATTTAATTTTTTTAAAAAAAATATTCTTATTAAGCTCTAATGCAACAAATAAAAAAACTGAGAGTATAAGCGATTTATCTATATTATTCATATTTCAAAAACATAATTTGTATTAATTTTTAACTAAAGTTTATTTTTTTAAAAAAAATTAAAAATAAATTATATGAAAAATTTGACATGATCACATTAATTATATATTTTAAAAAGTGTAAAACAAAAAATATAATTAATTAATTATAGACCAAATATTTATAAAATTTATATTGTGTATAGGGAATTATAATTATATATAGTGTCAAATAATTGTTGTGTCTATAATATATTAAAATTTTGTAATAAATATATTTATAAAGTTGTGATAATTTAGTTAAATTAAATATCAGTAAATTTATTATTAATAATTAAAGATTTAGTTGTCATAATTACAACATATAATAACAAAATTTTTGAAGCCTCCACTATCATTTTCCCCCTTCCTTCACCCCAAACCAAACAAAATGACAAAATGGTGTCCTATTCATGTCTTTTTTTTTTTTTTCCAAAGCCTACACCTCATCCTCCAAGCAAGACAAAACTTCTATGTGGTATATACGTGTACGTGTGTATATATATATATATATATGTATATATGTTTTAACATAATATTAAAATTAAGGAAAATTACAGTCACCACTACATCTCAAGTTTAACGTACTATACACCTGTCACTACAAGTATAAGATTTCTTAAATTAACATGAAAAATAATTATTTTTAGTGCCAACTGCCAAATTTAAATAAATTGGTATATTTTCCTCTTTAAAAAAAATGTATATCTTAAATTTTATTTATTTCAAGATTCCCATAATCTTTTTTTTTTTAATAAATAATAATTCTGTTTTTCTTTTCAAGATTCACGTAATATTCGTATTGATGAGTAGATGTCTTTAATAGATATATTGTTAATAATAATTACAACCTGAAGGAATAACAAAAGTGGGTTAATTAACTGTTAATTGATGCATCAATAAGTTTTAATTATGCAGTAGAGATTTTAATTTTGTCTCTTACTTAAAAATAATATTAACATACGTTAAAATGAGCTTTAAAAAATTATTTATAAAATCCTTTTATCTATTCTGAAAACCCACGTTGCAACCAGAAACGTGTTTTTTTTTTTAAATGACGATAATTTGTCGGTTCCAATCCAATTAATTAAAGAATACTCCAATGTAATGAATAAATTTTTTTTTTTTAAAAAAACGTTATATATAATAAAAATTTGATCGCGTATAATGTCATATGTATATACATATATTATACGCACATATATAATATATATATTATATTCCTCTGTCCACAAACAAAGTGCATCCTTCTTTTCCCTCTTTAATTTACTGCTTTGCTTACACAACACCGCCTCTCTCCTCCTCCTCGCCTTTCTTGAACCGGTCCTAGTCCACGCCTGCTCTTTCTTCCCCCTCTCTTTCTCTTCGTACCCTTTATCTTTCTTTTCAAAAGGAACAAAAATAACATCACCCTTTCTCCCTAATCCCCCATTGAAGAACAGTTTAGACCTCCAGATTAAGATAAGATGCTCGAATGGGTTCATGTCATGGCGGTGGTGATCTCCGCCGGCCTTCTCGCTGTTCTCCTCACCGTGTTTTTAACCCGATGGTGTTTCCATAAATCCAGTGTTGAGAATAACATGAACCAGAGAACAGAGAGCTTGCAGGAAGGAATAGCAAGGTTGCATCAAACGAGCTTACATAATCAGATTGATTTAGATAGCAAGCGAAGAGGCGGAGGGGGAACCGGAAATTATTATGTTTTCCGACGTGGGAATTTGCTGTTTAACTGGTCTGATCATCCGTCGCTCGTCACTGACGCCGTCGAAAATGGGTGGTCAAGGTTTGGATTCACCGGCGGCTACATGTCGTCTCCGTCGAGTACTAAATCAACTCTGTTGGGGCTATGCGCGCCAGGCGATTACAGAAGAGAATCAGACACGGAAATAAGCTGGGAAGTGTGTCAAGGTTCGGCGGATTTTATGCAGAAGATCAGATTAAATTCTGGGTTGAAGAAGGTGAACTCAACCTCTGTGATCAGAACCGCTCTGCCATTGCCGGGTCCTCCTCTGGGAAACTCTGCTTTTCCCCAAGAAGCGTATTTCGAGATCACGATCCTGTATTGCCGAGAAGATGAGTTTGAATCCTCGATGGGGAAAATTAAGGAGGGAGAAAAGGCAAAACTGATTCAAGAAAAATCGAGCGCCAATGCGATTAATAAAGCAGAAGAGTTGAAGGTCGATCATGGCGGAAAAGAGGAAGAAATCGCTGTGTCCTTAGGGTTAACAGTGGGTGGTCCTCTGCCTTTTAGTCTTCCTGGAAGCTACCCAGCATCCATTGGCTTCAACTCTGACGGCTCTGTATATCTCGACGGTAATTAATTTTTACTCTCTTAATTTCTCATACCCAAGTAAAAAAATCAGAATCTTTGACTTAATAGATTCTAAATAAAGAGTCTACAGATGAAATGTCTTTCTCCCAAGCAAACCCTCTTATAATTTGTTTGAATTTTGGCACGTGTCTATATGCACATATTTGTTTCTGTATACATACACTTGTTTTAGGTCAATTTTCTCCTAATGCCATTTTTAAAAAAAATATAATTGGGTTAAATACAAAGTAAATTGGTTATCTGCAACATGATTTAGAGTTTTTCCATTTATTGTATCTATATATGTATATTGTGCTTATTATTTTTTGTTATCACCATACAAAACTTTGCAATGAACAAATCCTTGACCTAAAGTTGTCAAACATTAAAAAAGGGGTTAACGAGAAAAGGCTCACCATCATATGTTTTGAATAGAGAAATGAAATTATTCTTCAAGGCCAACACCCTTTATATGCCATTCTTCATTGTACGGCAGAATTAGGTATATAAACCTGTTTGAAATTATTCTTCAAGGTCCTACAAAATATTGTCTCTATTATGATCTTTTCTATATATGTCATATACATTCACAATTTTCCATCTTGATTAGACTTGACCAACACTAAAGCCAAGTTTTTACCTTTATGCAGGAACCAAATTAGTGTTCGAATCCGAAAAAGTTGAATGGAAAAAGAATGAAAAAATTATCGGTTGTGGGTTTAATCCAAAACAAAAGAAAGTGTTTTTCACAGTTAATTCAGAGTTAGTTCATGTAATTCATTGTAAGTCTGAAGAATTTGGAAGCCCTCTTTATCCAACTCTAGCAGCAAATATTGATATATTAGTATTGGTAAATTTTGGACAAAGTGTTTTTAGTTATGCACCAGCTAATACTCAAAGGACAGCAAACCCTTGTTTCATTGGGCCCCTTGTGAATTCTCCAAATACAGTCGCAGCTTTAGGATATGAAGATAGCAAAGAGCTTTTTTCAATGGGGAGAATCGATTCGCAATGGTTTAATAGAAGTATTGCACGAGGATATAACAATAACAATAATAGTACTCGAACTATGGAATTTGACGAAGAATCTGACAATGATTTATTCGAAATCGTGCTGGAAAGTCGTGGGAGATCACCCAATACAGGATTTGAGCTACATCCTGTTGGATAATGTTATTATAAGTTATGAGTTCGAGGTTGTTATATTATTTTTCTTAACATTTTTGCTTTAGAAAATCAAACTTGCATAGCATCTTTGGGATTCTTTCGTCAATTTTCAACAGTAATTTTTATAATATTAAGTGAATTGTTTCATCATGAGAAAGTATATATTGTACACATAAAGATGTTCACTTCTTGACAAATTGAAATTTAAATTTATAGATCATGTAATTTTCTTTGTCTTTTTATATAATTTGTATATTTATTTTTAAATAAGAAATTTTAAAGAATATATTTCTTGCTTACTTTGGAGATATATATTCATATATTGCAAGAATATGCTCTAAAACAACTATGGAAGCAAATCATTAAGGATTAGTGAAGGAAGAATGAAGAATCGAATAGAGAAAGAGTGGAGGAGAATCGCGATCCAGAGAAAATACTAATAAGTTTTTGGTTTCTCAATTTCTTTAGATGTTTTTTACCATGGAAATAGAGGTTTATATACCTCTAGAAAAATTAGGCGCATATATTCCTCTTATACATTGTATCCTTTCTAGCATGATATATATATGTGTGTGTGTATATATATATATATATATAAATATATACAAATGTTCTTGGTGGACACATATTGGGGCCCCATCACTCGTTTCAATCTGCGGGTCCGGTTAAGGTGTATCTTGTCATATATACATATGTATATATATATATGTGGGAAACCGATATTGTTCCACCAAATTATTCTTCGTTTTGTTTATTTTTTTATATGTATAGAAATAATAGGTCAAATCCCAGATGCTTTTTTCGTGGTTAAAGATTAATGGCTTAAAACTTTTGTAATGCGCAGTCGTTTTGGTCAAGTCTCAGCTGACTTTTATCTTTAATTTTTCTTTTTTTTTTTTTTTTCAAATTTCAAAAATTAATCCATTTGTGTCAAAAATACATTTTAGGGAAACCAATATAAGAAAAGTTTGAAACTTTACCTAATTTTAACTTTCGGTATTTTATTTTTCTCTTTGAAAAAGTTATTTTATAATAAATTCAGCATCAATAAAATCCCATATCAACTCTGCCGCCATGTCCATGATGGTACGGCAAATTTGCTAGCTTTCTGAACAAAAATGGAGGATGTGGTGTCACGTTCTGGTTGGGAAAGATGAAGGAATCAAGCTCAAGAAAAGATTCTATTTAGCAAAAAATACACGTTTGACTTTTGATGATTAAAAAAATAACTACTTACTACTAGCACAAATAGGATAAAGCTGATCCATCCTTGTCCAAAAAATTTGGCAGCAAATGACACACAAACGCCTCCTCCATTTCTGAATATAAAATTTTAAATTTTGGTACTCAAAAATATAAAAGAGTTCAACCCATTTCATATAATATAATTTTTAGTAAATAAATAAATATAATATAATACAAATGTTGAAACTCCGATCTTTATTTGAACTAAAAGTTAGGTGTATTATACGTATAATATTATTTTTTTGTTTGTTTGTTATTCGCATTTATAATTTTTTTTTTCTGATAATATATTAAATATTAAACTCTAATATTTAATATTTTATTTTTAAAATATTACTTGTAATAAATAAAGAATTAATTATAATTTATATTTTTAATACATAATTGAATTAACTCCATTTGCATTCTCGAATCTATAATAATGGGTAATGAGTTGTAAAAACATTAATGTAATAGACACAAAGAATTATAATATTATATTTATTTAAATTTAAATGACACACATATTATATTTTATTTTTATCTCATAAAATTTAAATTTTAAAACAAATTGGAAGTGTTTTTTTCTTTTTCTTGGTGGAATTGATGAATTATAACAGCGCGAAATGAGTTTTAATTTTTTTTTTTTCTGTTTTATTTTTAGAACTTTGAAAGTTTTTCGTTCTTTTTAAACGATTCTTTATTAAAAATAGTAAACATATCATTATTATTTTGATTATTTACCGATATTATCGAATTCAAAAGTAAAAACTAATTAATTGAATGACAGTCAATCTGGCAACGGATTATTATGCTCATCAAATGCCATCTGCCCTTGCACTTTTTCCTGCAACTCAACAAAAGAAAAGGAAAGAAAGAAAGAAAGAAAGAAAGAAAGAAAGAATTGAGAATAAAAAATGGAATCAAGAAATCAACTTCATGTCATGTTTCTTCCTTACTTGGCACCAGGCCATATGATGCCAATGGTAGACATTGCTAGATCATTCGCTTCTCATGGCATCAATGTTACCATACTTACCACGCCTAAGAATGTTCTTCCTTTTGCATCTGCTGTTGACCGCGATATTAAATCTGGTAAGTATATTCAGTTCAATGTTTTACATTTTCCTTCCTCAGAATTCGGTCTACCAGAAGGTTGTGAAAATCTAACTGCTGCTCCGACTCCAAAAATGACCGTCAAGCTTTTTCATGCCATAGACATGCTCCAGCCGCAAGTTGAGCAAGTATTTAGAGAATGTCGTCCTGATTGCATTGTCTCTGACTATCTCTTTCCATGGACTGTTGATGTTGCCATTGAATTAGGCATACCGAGACTTGCCTTCAATGGAAGTGGATTCTTTAATCTCTGTGTCGCTCATAACCTCGAACATTATAAGCCTCACATGAATGTTGTGTCTGAGACAGAATCTTTCGTAGTTCCAGGCTTGCCAGATCAAATAACATTTACAAGATCGCAACTTCCAGACATTGTGAAAACCAAGACTAGATTCTCTGCTTTGTTTGATAAGCTCAAAGAGGTCGAGAAGAAGAGTTTTGGGGTCTTAGTAAACAGCTTTTATGAATTAGAACCTGCTTACATCGATCATTCTAGAAAAGTTATAGGATTGAAAGTATGGCCTATAGGACCTGCATCCCTTTTAAACAATGATGAGAAAGCTGAAAGAGGAGACAAGCCTTCCATACCTAAACATAGCTGCTTAAGTTGGCTTGATTCTAAGGAACCCACCTCTGTTGTCTACATCTGTTTTGGAAGCCTAATAAGATTCACCAAGTCTCAAATAACAGAAATGGCTAGTGCACTTGAAGAATCAGGTCACTCATTCGTTTGGACGATAGGAAAAGTCTTGACAGTTGATGATACACACAACAATGATCAACAACAACAAAACTCATGGTTACCGGAAGGATTTGAGGAAAAAGTAACACAAAGTGGCCAAGGGTTGATTATAAGAGGATGGGCACCACAGGTGTTGATTCTTACACATCCAGCCATTGGAGGTTTCTTGACTCATTGTGGTTGGAACTCAATCATGGAAGGGATTAGTGCAGGCATACCCATGGTCACGTGGCCAATTTTTGCAGAACAATTTTACAATGAGAAACTCGTGACACAAGCACTGAGATTTGGCGTTTCAGTAGGTAATGATACATGGAAATTGTGGGCAACAGAAGAATCACCTCTGATAAACAAAGAGAAGATCAAGAAAGCAATTATTGAAATCATGAACAATTCCAATGAGGCAATTGAGATGAGAAAGAAAGCTAGAAGACTTAGAGAATTAGCACGGAAAGCTGTTGAAGAAGGTGGGTCATCTTGGAGCAATATAAAGGATCTGATTGAGGGTATTAGATCATATAAACCTACAGATGTAACAAAAACTAGATAGTTCCCCTGAAATCATTGTGAAAATGTCTGAAAATTATTACACAGTGAAAATTCTCATAGCCAAGTATTTTTATTTGAACATGTCATGATGCCAAAAAAGAAGTAGCTTAAAATACAGGCAGATCAACCTGTTGTAAACAAACATGAGGGATAAAAAGACACTGATCCTTGCAAAGTACATTAATGAAAATCAGAGGATGCGAAACATCCAATAAACAGGCTGTTGAAAATCTAAACAGGATGTAGATCTTACAGCACGAATAATTTGTGGCAAGTCTATGCAACAATTTCAGATAGAAAAAATATTTCTCCTCATTAACATGATCAACCAAAATTTCAGAAATCAGATGCGTGAAATGTGCCAATCTAAATTTAAGTGCAGAGGGTGCACAACAATCTCAAAAAATATTTCTCCTCCTTAACATGATCAACCAAAATTTCAGAAATCAGATGCGTGAAATGTGCCAATCTAAATTTAAGTGCAGAGGGTACACAACAATCTCAACCACTCTAGATAAACTTAAAGTATTCAAGCCAAAACCAGATACTTCCGAAAAGAAAAGATGCCAGAAAATATATTTACAAGATACTGACAACAGCGCTCCGATTTTTGGTTCAATGTTTGCCATGAAATGGTGCCAATACATGATGCTAGCATTCTCTCCTGCCTCTCACACCAAGGCTCTGGATTCTTACAAGTTGTTTTCAACATCACTCACATAGTTGCCTATTTGCCTGTCTTAATGTATCTTGACGAGGAAACCATTTAACAGTAATTGACAAAGACAAACAAACTTGATATGTGGTAAATATGAAAGGGCAACCCATGATTGACACATAAGAATTGCAGCTGCAGTGAATATGGATGACATGCAAGGGGCAAATATATACCGTTTTCTGATATTTTCTGTCCATCATGTTTTTGTTTTTCCAGTAGATTTATTTAGACTGAATCAAGAGTGGACTGAATTCAATAAGGAAGAACTTCTGATATTCTTCACAATCGATGTCATAACTTCCCCATCCAAAAGTTAGTATACTGTCAAATTACAAATTGAAATTGACAGAAAACAATGAATTTTTCATTGCTTCAATGTAGGAACGAAATTTCTCCAGTCTAAAAGAGAGCCCGAGATCATAATGAATGCTATTAGTTAAATCATATCAAGGAAGCACATCAGATAACATGTGGATATTGTTTGGCCTGCTGTCGCACTCTTCTCTTGTATTCGGCGGGATCCTGAAAATATAAAAGTCACATTGCCTAAGATATAACTGTTTCATTTCAATACAAAAAAAAATCAATAATAATAATAAAACTTTACAAAATCTGAAATTCAAGTTCAGGGAACAGGGAAAACCTGGATATAGAGCTGATATCCATCAGTTTGTGCAGGATCGGCAGGATTGGGTTGATCAAGCAAATCTTGGATGCCGACCAAAATTTGCTTCACAGTAATGGCTGGTCTCCATCCCTGTTCAGGTTGGGGAAGGAATGAGAATATATCAGATAACCATTTATCTATATTAAATGCTGAGAGCATGCTTTGCAAGCACTTACATTGTCCTCATTGAGGATTGACAGGCATACTGTTCCAGAAGGATAGACATTAGGGTGGAAAAAACCTTGCGGGAATTTGCACTTGGGGGGTTTACTGGGATAGTCTTCAGAGAAGTGAAGCGTCAGTGGAAAGTACCCACCTTCCCAATCAGTCTGCAAATACAATGAGACTGATTATAGGTGATGATGCCATATACTTTTGAATAGAAAAAGAAGTATGTTACAAACAAGGATGGGGTGCTGCCCATGTACAAAGCATTCACATAGTATGTTCTGCCGCTTGATTACAAGTGATGTAATCAAGCGATGCAATATTCTCAATATGTTAAACTCATACTAGAGGAGAGATAAAATTCCCATATCTACAGAAGCTAAGTCCTAAGAAGTACAATCTATTTCCTCTTTCTTTGGGATGAAGGAGCAAATATAGATAGATAGAACCCACTGAATAGCATCTCATACATTAAAATATATATTTTTAAATTCAAGCCTTTTATTCACAAGATGTTGCATTTTCATCTGATAACTCCAATCACTACCCCTACAATTCAGACAGTATATGTACAAATGTAACTAGCAACAATAAAGCAACATTTTAAGTTGCAGGTTTGGAAGAATGAGAAAGATAAGAAATCATATGACGCATGGAAAAATGAGCTATTAAACCAAGCAATGATAATTAGCAGTTTGATGACAAATTTCTTTTAAAAAATATTGATGACACTCATGATCCTAAACAGTAGACTTTTTAGGTCAAAGTTGAAATTCATGCACATAAAACTATAACAGGTAATTTTGTTCCTAACCAGCTCATAGGCTTACTTCATATTAATACAATATTACAACACAGATTCGGATTTTATTCTGAGCTCACTACTCTCACCCAACACCTGTGAACTTATTAGAATTTGATTCCAATTCTTACTTTGAAGAGCTCAAACACAAAAAATCATGCTTTTGTTATCCTTCCATCTACAAACACACACACACACACACACACACGCAGACTACTATGAAGATCGAGTAAGAATCAACTATAAACAGAACAAAAATTGATCAAGACTAGCAACTTCAATTTTTATGCTACACGTTGATAGTTTTAAATTTTTGTTTAAGGATTTATGGTTAATTTTAAGATCTCAGGAACCCATGGATATTTTGATTTTCCACAAATGCTTTTTCTTTGCACACGCGAAGCTGCCCCTCAGTTCCCTGTAAGTATTACTCAGAACATGGAAATCTTCAACCCTTGATTTACATGAAACTAAATAAAAACACTCTAAGATAAAATATTCTAGTTTCCAAATAAAACATCAAATTCCAACTTCACATGCAAATGTCATGAATATGCGAGTCCTGTAATTTACATATAGCAACCTAGAGAATATTATCTGTTATATCAGAGGTTATTAGGTCATTCCACTTTGCAAAACCTTCCAGATACAGATATCCCTACTGACTCAAAGTAACTTGCTCTTATTGTCTTGCTAGTCACAAAATCAGCACTTCCTACCAGAAAATTTAATAACAGCAAAACACTAGCTCCAGATTTTTGCATCAAGAAATCGGAAAAATTTTCGGGATAAGACTTTACAGAAGGAAACACAAGCTGTGGATCTTAACCAAGGAATGATACAACCATCAGCGGTGAAATACAAGTGCTATAAGGTCATATTTGATTCAATTCTCGTTCTATTCCTTACTAATTGCTACTTCTAATTTTCATATTAGTTTTGGAATAGAAAATGGATATGAACATGCAACAAATTCAAGGTCGAAGTATAGTAACTTAAACAAAAAGATATCACGTTGAAACCGTACATAAGAAAACAGGTATGACAACTATAGGCCAACAATATAAACCTTAACGCCCAGTTCAACGGAAAGTCACGTAAAACTCCATAATTTTGTTAAACTCATGCAGTAAATCCAAACTTCTCTAATCTGTTTCCATAACTTTCTTAGAAAAAGAAATCAATTTTATAGAGAAAACCCCAACGAGAAAATGTGCAACAAAGAGACCTTTTCATTAAAAGAAAAACAGAAACTTAGTCAAGAAGAGACTTACCCCAGCTTTTCCAGGGATAATACACTGCCATACCATCAAATTCACAGACCCATCCGAAGCAGTTTCGGGCTTCGCGACAAAACCCTGAAAAAATTAAGCTACTCTTCATGAAGAAATTTCTTAAAAGAGAATCAAAAGGACTCCAACAAAGCATAAAGAAGCCAGAAATGGAGTCTGACTCCAACATAATTCATACGTGCGGGTGATTCTTCCGCCACGCTTTTCGCTCCTCTGTAAGTCGGCCGCGGGCGATGCCACCAGACATTGATAGTTTCAGTCTCTCAGATCAATTAACTCTAAGCAACACTCTTTGATTGATGAAGAAATGCTCTATCTCCCGTCCCGAGAAGATGACGACACAACTTGGCCTTGGAAGCTTCCTAGTTAGAAAACAAGAGAAGAGACCGTACGTTTCTTCCCTTCTGAAAATTTATAAAAATTGGTTTTTGGCTTTGGAAACTGACAGCCATTTTCTTTTTTTATATAATTTTTAAAATTTTCAATTAACTTTTTTAATATTGGAATATCAGAATTTATTTTTAAAAAAAAAAAAAATTATATACGGTTGTTATTAAATTAGATTACGATAATTCAAATAATTTAATACTAAAATAAATAAGGTAATTTAAAATATTTAAATTAATATTACTTATGGGCCCTTTTATAGTTAAGTCCAGCCCACTAGCCAATTGTTGGGACCAAATATACTGGGCCTCACTACATTGCCATAAATACGCTGTTCTAAAAAGATTAAGAAATAAAACAAAATGAATGAAAATTATTAATTACAGTGGTATATTGTATTATTTTCTTCAAGCTAATAATCTCCATCACAATTAAGCTTAAAACCTGAAAAAATTTCATTAATTAATTTACTTTCTTTAACATAGATATGACCCCCTTTTTTTTTTTTAATGCAAACAGAAAACTGGAAATGATGCAATCATCAACTGGCATTGCTCATGATGATCTCTAAACAAAATTTCACATGTTATGTCTCCACGAATCCATAATTTTTCAGCTTACGGCTCCAAAAAAATTGAGTAGAGATGATAAAGATTGGAGCCCCTCACTTGTTTTACAGTGCAATTTTAAACCAAGACAAGGTATGATGGTAGACCAAACCAAAAGAAGGAAAGTATAATCAGATTTGTCAATTAAAAATTCTCTTTTCGAGTTGACAAGATGAGGGTCACTCTAATAATTATGCCCTTTGGCTTTTATAATAATAGTTATGTAATTAAAAGAATAATAATCAACCTATGACTAATCGTACTTGGGGAAAAATAATTTAAGTGCACTGATTAAGAAAACCGAACCCATTTGATTGGACCATAATTAGATGGTTCTGAATTCAAATTACTGCACTAATAATTAAACTAAGCAAAGAACCACGGTAATAATTAGAATTTAAACATCTAATTACTTAATATGATAAATAAACATCAATTTATTGGTCACCATTGACACAAAATTTGATTTTTAAAAAAAAAATAAATTTATGACGGATAATTAATTCAATGAGAATAATTTTTAATAGACATGTAATGGGTGTTTCTTAAATTTATAGTGAATGCAGAATTAAAAATATAGATCAATCAAGATATATAAACTGATCATGATACGGTGTTTGGATAAAAAGAAATGAAAAAAGAAGTCTGAGTGTTTGGGAATAATGTAAAGGAGGTGGGGGTGGCATGTGATAAGCAAAAGCTCCCACATGGGTTAGAAAAGCTTAATAGGGAGGGGGGAAGAGGAGGAAAAGGAGAATGTGATGAAAATTGAGGAGAAAAAAGAATCCTCATCTCTCCACACAACTTTCCAAATCATTTTCATAAATCTAGTAGGACCTTACCTTATTAAAAAGGCCTAATGTTTTGATTAGATTATAGTTAATTATGTTTATTAATCATGTTATTCTCTTCTTTAAGCAGAAAAGGTGGTGTTTTTTTTTTTTAATAATAATAATAATATATATATTTTTTGAAAAAAGGTATGAAATATACTAGCATGATAATTGTTATAAACATTATTAACTTTTTCTATTAGAATATTCTATTTAAGTCATAATTATTGTTGTTTAAGTGAAAACCTCGTTCTTGAATAACAACATTACCTAAATTCATCTGGAAAGTGAATATATGTATATATAATATAGAAAATATTTTAACATTATAGTTGTTGTTATTGGGAAGCAGATAGAGGTAAAAGAAAAGAACAAGAGCAAGATTTGTATCCTTTGGCTCTTGCACTTTGCTTTGCCGGTATTCATGGCTAGCTATCTGTGTCTTAAAATTGGGGAACAAATGTAAATAATGTTATGTGATGTGGGTTTTTTAAAATTAAAATGCCAAATTGATTGAATATAATTATAACTGTGCCTAATCAAATAAATCAAGGATCATAATTCAATTCCTCTACGATAATTGCATAACTTTGATTGAACATGAGAAAATTAAATTTTGTTAGGAATAGAAAGTTTGATCTGAGTTTTAAACTTATTATTACAATTAAGTTAATTTAACCATGGTATAATATTTCTTTTAATCAAAAATTAATGTTTATTAAAATTTAACTCAATTTTATCACTATAATTTTATTGATACATTAATAAAATAAATTCTCAGTAACACATAATCAAATATTATAAATTTATCATTATTAATCTATAACTCTACGTTATCAATGATATTTAAATTTGTGACCTTCAAATATTATATTAGTTCTTATTAAAAAATTCTTCCAACCAACCAGCGGCTCACTCAACAAAAGAATAGATTGATTAGCAGGCAAATTATACACAGATGTATGTATGTATATGATATCTAAAACTGTAATTCAAATCAACTTAGATAATCATATGAGACAGAGTGTGCATCATGAAATATGTAATTCTTAAAAAGGAAATTGTAGTTTTTAGAATTAATGTTTTGAAAAACAACAATTCAAGTTACAAGAACTACACAACAAAAACAAACAGAAACCAAAACTATTTGGCAATTAAAAAAACACAACAAAAAACAAAACAACCCGTTTTCATTCTTCTTTCTAGCATCGATTGGTACATAATTTATTTGGATAAATTCAAAGTAGACGTGACAGAAAATAATAATAATATATATATATATTTAAAAGGGTCAAAGAGTAATAATTCTTTACTATATAAATAATTTCATTACTGCAAAACTGAATAATATATATATATATATTTTTTTAAGATTAGTAAGATTCAGATTTGATAAATTAAAGAAAGAGAGTGTATTTTTTTTTTTCAAACAGTATAAAATCATCATGGGCAAATACATTTAGTCTAAATTTTGTGAATTGATTTGATAATCTACCTATTACCATATTATTTTTTGTACAGAATATTAAATTCAATTTTAATAATAATATTTTTCGGATTCCACCATTCCCCTAAATGTTTCGTTTAAAAATTTTAATTTCCACATAAATGGATATGTATAAGATAAAATTTACCAATAATAAATTAACACAGAAAATACAATTTAAAGTAATACTAGAGAAATTTAAAAACTTTGAATGCGCGTGTCATTTGAACAAGAGGAAAAAACAAAAATAGGAAGGCTAAGTGGTGGGGTACGTGAGTTGTTGCTTGCTCTGCATCCAATTCAAAGCTAACGGTAGGATTGTGGAAAAAATCTAATGAATTGAGAGTTAGGTTTGGGAAAATGAAACTTGGAGTTGGGATTTTGGCATCAGCTTTTTCCTTTTTGGGTCTGTCTTCTCCCCCATCTCTTCCTTCTCCGTGAAGCACTTGTTGCAGGAATTTGCAGTTTAAACTTTGTGCTTCGGGGAGAGTTTGCTTTAACTTGCAGTCTACCGCATCAAGGCAAAAACAAAAAAAAAAAAAAAAAAAAAAAAAAAAAAAAAAGGACACCGAAGCATATTACTAGTCATGTCGTGTCCTTTACATATATATATAGGAAAAAATAAAAAAAAAAATGGGCATTTTAAATCTTATAATTTAAAGTGTCAGACCCAATTAGAAAAAAAAAAAAAAAAAAAAAAAAGACAAAATTTGCTCTCAAATCTTGAACGTGAATTCTTGTTTGTGTTATAACGTTGAATTTAAGGAGAAAAAGAAAAAAGAGAGCAGCAAAATATATCTCCCTAATCAACAAATTTTATTTTATGCAGAAACGCACCTAAAGATCCCCCCCCATCGAGCATGCAGTCTATATGTATGTTGAAGGTAATAATTGTTTTGAAGGGGTTAGTCCCAAATGAGAAAAATGCAGATAAGAGAGACTGGTTTTCTTTTTTTATTTTTATTTTTTGTTCTTTTGATTGATGGTCTTTGCTTATCTACTTGAACGCTCTCTTCAATCCTCTTTTTTTAACGAACCAACGACACCGCAACTACCACTAAATTTTAACCCACCAATACAAAATTCGCTACTAACAAATATATGAGCTGACATTATAAGATCAAATTTAAGTAGATAAATAATTTAACTATTAATATATTAATAGAATTGTTAGTATTTAGATTATAATTTAGTTCAATATATCTAAAAAAATTCAAAACACAACGTTTCATTAACTTTGTAAAAAAATAATAATAAAGTATAATTTTATGTACATGCATGTATTTTTTTTCAAAATATTAATACCTTAACATTTTTCATAATTACTTATTCTTGCGATTAATTATAAAACTCTTGTATAGTTTTCTCTGTGTCAAGATTTGAATTATTTTTTCATTTTTTTTAATTAATTTTATTAAATAGTAAGATTATATTGTGAAATACTAATTTTTCTTAATTAAAATAATCGAAAGGAACTAAAAATTTAACATGTATTTTTATTTTAGAAAATAAATAAAATAATATAGCCAAACAAATTTTAAAAGTAAGAAAATTATATTTTTATAGGTAATAAACAGAACATATATATATATATATATGTATGTATACTAAATAAAATTTTTGAAAGTGAAAAGTAAGAAATTGTTGATAGTTTTTGAACAATATAATCCTGAAAAAGTAAGGTAATTTAATTAGTAGATGAGCTGGTCCAATACTTTTTAGAAGGAAAAATCCCGTAATTTAATTAACGAGTACGCTAAGCACGTGAAAATAAATAATAAAATTGCAACAATTTACACAAAATCTAATAGTTCGGTTTTTAAATTTCGAGTAACTACTTTTTTTTTTTAATTTTATTTTTTTAATTAATATTGTTTTTTTTTTCTTTCTATTTTACATTATATTTCATGTAAGAGACCTCGAT